ACCTTTCTGAAATTGGCAAGGTGAAAAAAATGGATAAATGGGTACCGCACGAACTAACAGTGCGAAATAAGCTGGATCGATTGAACGTATGCTCATCATTACTAATCCGATTTCATCGAGAGCCATTTTTCGATCGGATTATTACTTGTGATGAAAAATGGGTTCTTTACGACAATAGGAAAAGGTGTGCTCGGTGGCTTGATAGGAATGAGGCTTGTGCTCATAGTCCAAGGCCATCACTTCATCCACGGAAAATTTTAATAACAGTTTGGTGGAATGTGACTGGAGTAATTCATTACTCATTCCTTCGAACTGGGGAGACAATTACAGCCGAAAAGTACATTGATGAAATGCATGAAAAATTGAAAATTATACGTCCATCACTTGTTAATCGGCATGGCCCAATACTTCTTCACGACAACGCTCGACCTCATACATTGTACAAAACAATTGCGAAATTAAATGAATTAAAATATGAAATTTTGCAGCACCCAGCTTATTCACCGGATTTTTCGCCAACCGACTTTCATTTTTTTAAACATTTAGAACAGTTTTTACGGGCTAAATGGTATGAAAATGAAGACAGAAAATGAAGACTGAAAAATTCCATATCAGAGTTATTGATTCTAAAGATCAGAATTTCTTTAAGACAGGCATCTATGCATTAAAATCTCGTTGGGAAAAGTGTATTGAAACAAATGGAGCATATTTTGATTAAATAAACAGCTTTTGAAAAAAGATATGCAATTTTATATATTCACTTAAAAATCCGACATTTCATATGCACCAACCTAATATAATTCATATATTATTTTATTTTATTTAGGTAAATGAAATTTCTCGTAAAAGAAGTGGTGTTGACGACGTTAATGAAAAGAAATTGAAATCTCTTGAATCGTTAAGTATAATTGCAATTACTATCTGTTATATTATCATAGCAATACAATAATAGAAGAAAACATTGTATAATTCATATATGTGGCATTTTGTTGTATATCATTGCAAAAAACATGTAATTTTGCATTAAATCATTCAATGTATACTTTTGTATGCTTACTCGTATATATACTTTTGCAGGATGATAAATTTGACAATGAAGCAGCTGTTAAAAGAAACCAGTGAATGCAGCATTCCGTCTCATACAAATTTGAAAAAAGGAAATGAGGTTTTAAACTTATAATTAAATGTAGACATAAAAAAATTTGGATATTACCTGCATATTAAAAGATACGACCAATTTGAATATGGAACTACAAAAGTCTGTAAATGTTTATTTTGGAGAATTCAAAGATAATAATAAAAAGATAAATAAATCACGGACCTAGATAATATTTTTTCCCGGGATTTAATTAAAAAAATTGTTTCTCTATTACATGTCTCTCTACTACATTTTTTCTTAATAATATGAGGGCAAATCAATAAGTTCTTAAAAAATCTGTCAGAGGGCACTCGCAATGTTATGTCACATTACTTTTTGACAAGTAATAGTTTCTTTCAACTGATTACTGTCAAATTTTGAGCGGAATTCATCGCATGGTTTCATTTCTGTAGACGATTAAAGTGAACAACCTTTGTATTTTTTGCAAAATGGAAAAAAACAAGTTTCGTGCAATGATCAAATATCTACATATGAAAGGTTTAACGACGATAGAAATCAAAGCCGAATTGGATAATGTTCTCATAGCACATCTGCACCAGCGTATTGTATACAATTGGATGAATAAATTTAAACGTCGTATGAATTTAAAGATCGTACTTCCACATATGATGCACCTCGTTCGAGACGTCCAATTGAGGCTGCTACGCCAGAAATTATCGATAAAATCCACGATATTGTTTTGATTGATCGACGAGTGAAAGTGCACGAGCTTGTTGAGGCCATAGGTATACACACATGGCACAGTGATTTCAATTTTGCATGAACAATTGGATATGAAAAAGCTATTGGCAAGATGGATACCGCGTTTGCTAACTGTGGACCATAAGCGCGACCGTGTGACGATTTTAAAACAATGGATATGTCAACGTAATCCAGATGAATTTCTGCGTCGATTCATTACTGTGGACGAAACATGGATCTATTACTTCACACTCGAGACGAAGGAACAGTCAAAACAATGGATTTCACCGAGTGAACTAGCTCCAAAGAAGATGAAGACCGTGAAGTTACAGAAAGATAATGGCCACAGTTTTTTGGGATGCACGTGGTATAATTCATATCGGTTACCTTCCATCGAAGCAAACGATCAATGGCGATTACTACGCAGCCAGGATTGTTTCAATAACATTTTAAAGAAAAAAATCTCCATTTGGCGAAGAAGAAAGTGCTCTTCCATCAAGACAGTGCACGGGTTCACATGCCCGACACCGATAGCCAAATTCAATGAATTCCGCTACAAATTGCTTCCTCATCCAGCATATTTGTTAGATTTAGTCCCCTGCGACTATTTCCTGTTTCCAAACCTGAAAAAATGATTTGGAGGAAAGAGAGCAGCTCATTACCGAAACGGAGGCTTATTTTGAAGAGTTGGACAAATCATATTATTCGGACAGCTTGAAAAAGTTGGAGAATCGTTGGATCAAGAATATCGAGCTGAAAGGAGACTATGTTGAGAAATAAAAATGAATCGATCAAAAAAATATGTTTTTCTAAAAACTTATTGACTTGCCCACGTAATATATTTACATTTACAGCTTGCGCTGATAAGATTGAAAATGCTACAAGCCTTGAGGGAAAGAATACCGTCCGCGTAGGTTTTATAAAAAAAGTGGACACACTGTAAGTGAGAGTATGATATATTTATTTGTAAAAATCTAACAAAATTGATCTGATTACTAATATGTATTATTATTTCGTTTCTATTAATTATATTCATTACAGATACATTTGGGAAGAAATGTATGGCTGTCAAAGGTAACTTATGACTCTGCCATTTGTATGAAATCTCATATGATGGTTGCTAAGAATTTAGCACTTGCAGGCTTCGGACATAAGATTTTACAAGCTTCAAGTATAAGCGGCAATGCTAGCAACAAGTATAAAAATCGAGATCCGAAAAAAAGGTGGATGAAACAAAGATTCTTGCTATAAATTCATACAAGGTATGAATTTATTAAAAAAAAATAATTTATTATTTCAATTCCTTTTATTATATTATTCATTTGCTTCATATCTAATCGAGTTTCTTATAGATATCTATCAATATTGGTTAATTAATGCTCAAAACAGGAATATGATGCACAGAGAGCCATAGGGTACCGCTCTACATCATTAAAAAAATTAGCGATTTTAAACTCGCAACAAGCTTGAGAAAAAGACTGTGAAAGGTATTTTTCATATCACATTATTATTGTTTTAAATATTCTTATTGCATATTGTACTTTTAGTATCTTATTTGTATAGATGTGAGAAATTTATGCGCGCGCGTGCGTGTGTGTGTGTGTGCGCGCTAAGTGAAGCAGTGTTAATACACTTAGACACTAAAAGTAAACTTGCAAAAAATCAGTAATCTATACTGCTATATTTTCAAAATTTTTGGTGCATTATTATTTCAGAAGCAAATGATGATAGTGTTGACGTTTCTTCCGCAGATACACAAGAAAATATCGATAAATATCTGTATACTCCCCAATTTCTTGACACATCTTGATACAAACGCAATAGTAAACAAGATATTGATTACTAAACATCGCTGAATATTGGTTTTCTTATGTTGGTAAAAATAGTTATCAAAAAATGCAGTATTAAAAAGTTGATAAAAAATTCTGAAAAAATTCTTAGAGCTCTATAGAGAGAGAAGCAAATAATTTTTGTCTCTTGCTGTTTTTTTTGTAAAGTTGATAGTATTTGAGTAAAAAATTATTGAAAACCAATATTCCGCAATTTTTAATAAAATTAACATCTTGTTGACACCCTCCTAAAAAACGTCCTTCTTCTAATATAAAATTGATTATTGTACAGGGTGGGCCATCTATTGGTACGTTTTTAAAAATGCGATCAAATGAGCATACATTGACATTTTTTATTAATTTTTTTTTGTTGTGAAGCTAAAAGTATCCGCGTCAAGAATGAAAAACGATTTCGTTCATGTGGCTCCCTCTACTGGCCTTACAGTATGCCATTCGGTCACCCCAATTATTAATGACATTTTGGACTACCTCGGCGCCAATTTCACTCAAAACAGTCGTAATATAATGTCATCCACTAACATCCCTTTCTCACGAACTTTCCTCACCAATTTGCGTATAGCTCCTTCGGTGGGTGCTCTATCACGACCCATATTTCTTTTCAAAATTCGTACAGTTTCGGCGACACAGCACTGACTTTGAAAATAAGTTTTTAAAATTTCAAAACGCTCTTCAAGAGAAAACATGTTGTTTCGTGCCGCGGACGGTATGACTAATAAACTGTCAAAATTTCGGGTCTGTAGCTCGTTCGGTGTTGCCATACGACGAAATTCAAAAACCTACCAATAGATGGCCCACCCTGTAATTTCAGAAACAATCGTCAACAGCGATCACGACGAAAGCGTTGCAGAAAATATACTTAATGAAAATACTTAATGAGACATACTTAAATATCTATATGAGACATACTTAAATATCTAACTGAAATATCTATATAACATTTCAAAAATAAATATTAATAAATATTTATCAAAAATATTTTGTGCTGTCTGGGAGGTGCATTTTATACGATACTATAGTTACATATGGATAAGAACCACATATTTGCATTTGCGTATGGGATAAAGTGTGTATATGTCGCAGCCTTTTTGAAAAATTAGCCTTTTTACGAAAAGGCTAGCCTTTATGCAAAACGGTGCCTTTTTGCGAAATCAATGATCGTTCTTCTATTATATAGACTGTCGCATTTTTTGCGTTAGCCTTTTCGCGAAAAGACTGATTCACATCAGCCTTATTAGTTAATGATACACGTTCTGCAAAAAGACTAACCAAACGTCTAGCCTTTTCGCGAAAAGACTAACTCACATCAGCCTTATTGATTAATGATACACGTTTTGCAAAAAGGCTAACGAAACGTTTAGCCTTTTTGCGTAAAGCCTATATTCTAGGTTTTACGTAAAAGAATGAAGAATATAGAATATAGAATATCCCGATTCCGAAATTTTGATAAAAATATGCGAAATTGTAACCCATATAGGGTAGGGTGTGTAAACTAGTGCTCTTGCGTTCGGAGCTACGCCGCCCCGAACAAAGAATAATATATCTTACCCGCTTGGAACCTAACCGCTTAGAAATTGCAGCCTAGACAGTGTCCGCTTGGAATATTTCTAACCCATGTAGACAGTGGAGTGTGAGAACAGTTTTCAGAGACAGTAAAAACCCATTTGGAATTCGGGGTGTGAGAATAGTATTTCTAAAACCTATTTTTAAAGACTGTTCTCACATATTTAATGTTAGAAACGGATAAAGCAAGTCATCTTTATGTACAGATGCAGATAAATATTTTGTCCGATTCTACAGTCACGTGCGAATAGGAACCATATGTCATTTGCGTATATATGCGGATCGAATTCCGTACTAATGTACAATTATATGCATTTGCCATCAGAGACAGATAAAGTGTGTATACGCAATTGCAGTTATAAACAGATACAATGCATACATGCATTGTAGTCATCTTTACGTACAGGTTCAGATAGATATCTTGTGCGATTCTACAGTTACCCACGGATATGAACCGCATGTTTCCACTTGCGTATGTATGCGGATGATTGAGTTCCGTATTATAGCACAGAACTAGACAGATACAGTCAAAATCTAACTATCTGTCATTGCATACAGAAATTGATTTGTTTTCTTACTGCCTCTGTCGATAATTGCATGGAAAGAAACATATAGTAAAACAATCAGAAACAGATATAAAAATATAATATAATTTTATATAATCATATATAAATGGACATATTTTATATATAATTGTATATAATTATTTGATTGGTGCAAAAAAATATCTGTTTTTCTGCATTGCTATTAACCTTTAGATTGGCGACATTTTTTCATTAAAATAGTGGTTTTTTTCTCGAACTTTTTTTTATACAAGTAACATATGGCGCAGAATACCGAGATATGCAGAGCCATAAAAGTGACTTTCCCGGCAGAGAATGTACGATCAAATAAAAAAATTTTTATTTTCTCAAATAGTCTATTTCAGGGTTCTTGGTATCACTGATTCCAATTCTGAGCTGATAGATTTAGAAAATTTCGAACCCTAAATGTAATATTGACAACATAAACAAATATAAAAGTATAGACTCATGCAGAGAACTTTCTTTTACCCAGTGAGAAATGATAAGGAAATCGATATCGAATTGATGTCAATTTCATCGATTTCATTGTCATTTCTCACTGGATTAGCATTACCCAGAGCTAACGACATAGATGTAAAAAGTTTTTGGTTCCTTTTTTATTTTTTTTTTGTTTGGTTCTTAAACTTATTTTTTGTATTTTTTTTACTTCTTTCTTGTTTTATAATTTTTTTATTTTTTTATATTTTTTACTTATTTTTGTAAATTTTTCAATATTTATATATTTTTATATATTTTGGGCAACATACACATATGTTTAATACAATTAATATTTAAAAAATGTCACCAAAAATTATATAATCTAAACTCAAGAGCCATAAAAGTGGTTTTCCCGGCAATCTAAAGGTTAAGAGCAGTCATAACTTCGTTAAAAAATGAACAAAATAAAAGGATTTTAAAGCTTCAAAACTCTACTTCCAAAAACTTACTATATTTTTTGAGTTTACGTAAGTTTGATAATTTTTACATTTCGAAAAATACTAGCTAAAAAAAATGAAAAAATTTTTTTTCACTTTATAGATCTGTTACGTAACCCCCCCCCCCCAAAATCGAGAAAATTTGTGAATCTATCGTGAAAGATGAAGTTGGTGATTGAAGTTTTCTCTACAAAATCATTTTTTAATAATGTTTCTATGATTTTTTGTTCTTGAATTACTCGCGGATTAAGTAAAAGTAGCATTCGGACTTTGATTGTTCATAACTTCGTTAAAAATCATTATATTGCAATAAAAAAATATAAATTCCTAAAGCTAAAACTTCGCTATATCAAATGGTACAATCACTAACTTTTTAATAGAATATATTAGAAAAGAAAAACCACCATTTTATAATACCGAAACCAATATTTTTCTTATAAATTTTATATATATATATATAATTATCATATACATAACCTTGAAATACTAGCGATTTTGTATCAGCATCATATATTTTTTTTGTGCAAAAATGCCGAGTTTTGAGCCGAATAAGCGTCATTTGCGGGAACTTTTGATTTACTTTGAATTTACTTTAATTTGAAGAAATCTGCAGCCGAGGCTCATCGATTGCTTGTAGAAGCATATGGTGAAGCTGCCTTAAGTGAGAGAAGTTGTCGTGAATGGTTTCAAAATTTAAGAACGGTGAATTCATCGAAGACAAAGAACGTAGCGGAAGGCCGAAAGTGTACGAAGACGTGGAATTGGAAGCATTATTGAATGAAGATTCCTGCCAAACGCAAAAAGTAATGGCTAACGATGGGCAAAACTTTCAATAAAATTTTTCACGTTCTTTCACAATAAATGCTTAATTTTTGATAAAAAACGGCGGAAACTTATTTGTACACCTAATATATAAAATATTTTTTCTTCCGACTTAATGAATTATTTTTTATTAACATTTAATATATATTTTTTATATTGATAAAAGGCTATACAAAAATAAATATAAATAGTATTCGTAATAGTAAGTTAAATAAAATAATTTGAGGATCTATTATATGGAACCTACAAATAAGAAATTCACATTATAAATTTTGTAGAAGACGATTACTATGACATGAAGCTTCGTGTCTTTGAAAATTGATATCATCGTTTGTTTTTTTTATATACATTGTTCAAAAAAATTAGAGGATCACTTCTTCTCGGTAAATTTTTGAGAGTAACAACATCTTATTATTCCCACATCCTCCAATGAGTCCGGACTTAAATCCAATACAGCATATATGGGACATGATGAATAATTTTAATATTTTTATTATGGGAAGACGATTATTTCAACAATAGCTTGTGGATAATTATGTTAAAATTGAAAAAGATTTAATTATTGTAAATAAAATCAAAAACAATTGCGAGCTATCAAAGTTATCAAGGATTAATTGATTATTTGGCAAATACTGCTAATAATAATGATGCTCATATAGGAAAAATGATTATACTTCCATCGACGTTTGTAGAGTCACCGCGTAATATGTTGCAACATTATCAAGATGCGATGGCTATTGTTAGAAAATATAGAAAACTAGATATTTTTATTACCATGACTTGTAATCCAAACTGACGCGAAATTAGAGAAAATTTATTGCCAAATTAACAATCTGCAGATAAACCAGATATTTGTGCTCGTGTATTTAACATAAAAAAAATCATTTGATTGATATCATCGTTAGACAAAAATTTTTTGGTAAAGTTCTAGTATATGAGATAGAATTTCAAAAACATGGATTGCTACACATACATTTGTTGATTTCTTTGAAACAAAATTATAAGATATTAAATCCTGAAGCAGTTGATAAATTTATTTCAGCAGAAATTCCGAATCCTGATAAAAATGAAAAATTACACAATGTTGTAATGAAACATATGATTCATGGGCCATGTGGAGATTGGTGTTTGATAAATAATAAATATTCGAAACATTTTCCAAAATAGTTTCAATCTGAAATGATCATGGATGAAGATGGTTTCCACAATATCGTTGACGAAATGATGAATTGTTTTACGAAAGATTTGGACGATATATTGTTATAATCGATATGTCGTTTCGTATAATCCAACACTTTTACTTTTATATAATAGTCATATTAATGTGGAAATAGTTTCGAATATACGATCTGTGAAATATTTATATAAATATATTTATAAAGGTCACGATGTTGCAACTGTAATTATTGGAGAAAATGTAGATAAAACGATAATTCATTGATGAAATTCGAGATTTTATCGAAATTCTTTATGTGGGATCTGTAGAAGCATGTTGGCGTATTTTGAGCAAACTTTTATAGGAAAAGAGTCATGTGAGTGACTAGAGTGCTATTTTTCGTTTACCGGTGTACATTTGCCAAATAATAGTGTAATCATTGATGAGAATATAAATAATGATGCAATAAGATTGGCTGTAACGAATGACAATGTCGTTGCATTATTTTGAATTAAATACTCGAGATGACGAAGCGAAACAATATTTATATAGTGATATTCCATTTCATTATGTACTCAAAAAAGTAACAATTAATGGTAAAACCATTAATCGTTGGGAAAAACATCAAAGATATTTTAATTGGATTGATCGAATGTATTCCGTTAGTCCATCTCAAATAGAATTATTCCATTTACGTATACTTTTACTATATGTTAAAAGAGCGAAGAATTTTCAAGAACTGAGGAGTTAATAATGAAGGAGTTAATAATGACATGTACACTAAACCTTCACAGCTGCATGTTGAGCATTAGGACTCATAAAAGATGATAACGAATGGTATCACGCAATGAATGAAGC